TTCGCCGAAGGGGACTCGAGATCGACCCTTGTTACGGTGGCAAACTGCACATGACTCAATGTACCTCGTGACGTCATGAAGGACGTCGGGCCAGTGAAAACGCTGGCGGAGGCGTGCTAGTGTGCGGTTCACGCCAAGGTGTGCTGAAAGTCGTGCGTCGTGGAATTCGCCGAGAAGACGAGTCCGTAAGATGCGATCTTGGGGCACTACTAACAAGTCCTTTCCTCTCGAGTGAAGGATAAGGAACCCGTAGGAAATCCGATAGTGGCTAGCCGGCGGGTGATCCGATGAAAGCTCTGCGTAAAGCGTAGAGTAAGTCGGATCGGACTTGTAGCCTTTGACGAAATGCGGCTGCAGATCGTCATCGAGGTCGAATGCCGTGGTCACAATGGCGCAAACGTCGGGCCGTCGTGAGAGGGCGTCCGCAGCTCGATTGGCGGGACCGGGATGTGACAAGGGTTAAAATCGAACTGGTCGATGTAATACATCCATCGACCGATCGTGCTAGTGACCGTGTCTTGTGTTTTATAAAAGGTCAACGGATTGTTGTCCGTATTGCATTTGAACCGCCGACGGCCGAGAAGAAAGTGGCGCCACCGTTTGAGAACGGTGACGAGCGCGAGTAGCTCTTTCTTCCTCGCGTCGTCGAGAGTATTGACAAGAGGCACCTTTTGGGAGAAATACTCAACCGGATGCCAACCGTCCTCGTGACACTGTTCCAACACCGCACCAATACCGTATCCCGAAACGTCCGTAGTCACTTGGGTGGGTAGGGTGGGGTCGTATATACGGAGGGCAGGTGCGGCTTGCATTGCTGCCTTCAACGTAGTGAACGCGCCACGGGCTGCGTCGTCGAACTCGAAGGGCACCTTCGGGGACTGAAGTCTCGACAAAGGAGCGGCCACTTTCGAGTATGACTCGACGAATCGCTGATAATATCCAGCCAAMCCCATGAAAGAGCGTACATCCGTCGTGCAACGGGGTTCCGGCCAATCCACGATGGCTTGGATCTTGTCCGCTAAGGGACGAATGCCTTTCGGCGTGACAAAATGACCCAAGTACTCAAGCTCTTGCTTGGCGAATTCGCACTTGTCGAGATTCACTTTGTACTTGGCTAGTCGCAAACGATTCAGAACCACACGAAGGTGTACGATGTGCTCGTCCAACGTCCTACTATGAACCAAGATATCATCAAGGTAGATGAGGACGCTGCGATCGAGCAAGTCGCGAAACTCAGTCGTCATCGCTGCTTGAAACGTTGCGGGGGCATTGGTGAGTCCAAATGGCATGACGACCCACTCAAAATGCCCGTACCGCGTCTTGAACGTGGTCTTGTACCGGTCTTGAGGCTGGATTTCAATCTGGTGGTAACCTGACTTCAAATCCAACTTCGAGAAATACGTCGCGCTGCCTAACCGCTCAAGGAGATCATCAATCCGAGGGAGAGGGTCGGCGTTCTTTACGGTTTGTGCGTTAAGTTTCCGATAGTCGATGCATAACCGGAGATCTTTGTTCTTCTTCCGGACGAAGAGAACAGRTGCACCGTATGGCGAGCAACTAGGGCGAATCCAACCCTTGTCGAGAAGATCATCGAGTTGTGCGCGAAGCACCTCGAGTTCCTCTTCGCTCATGCGGTAGATACATCCACGCGGAAGGACGGCGCCAGCCTCGAGAGTGATTCCGTGACGTATGGGCCGATCCGGAACCGWTCCGGTGGGAGCCTCGAAGACGTCTCTATACTCGTCCAAGAGGTGAGAAATGCGTGGGTCCGGCGGTGACGCGGCTGGTCCGTCCGGCGAGGGGAGAGCATGCAAGAATACAAGGCCCATCTCCTCRACGTCATTCCGAGCAATGGCGTCGCGAATCCGTGCAACGGAAACCACGTGACAAGCAATCGAAGTGTGAGGGGTCGCGACCGTACATGGGACTAACACTCCGTTCCGATCACGGATGTGAACGGTTCGGTCATGGGAGTTCACCGGATGATCGGCGCTACGCAACCAAGACATGCCTAGAATCATGTCAAACTTGGTGTCAAGGATGTCAAAAGACACCGGCTCGCACGCAAGTGGCGCAAAGTGGACCGAAACGCCGTCAACGCATCGGTCAATTGACTTTTGCGTGCGGCCGTCCGCGAGTGTAACTTGCGTAGGTTGTGTCTTCCTTCGAGCGCGCGGGCCAAGACCTGCGCGGGCCATAAAGGCTTGACTCATGAAGTTGCGAGTCGCTCCGCAATCAATCAAGGCACTACAGGTTGCCTTTCCGATTTGAATGCGGATATAGAGCAAAGGTGCGTCGGTTTCGGCGTACCTTTGGGTGGCGTGCTCGCGGTC